CAAAAGGTCATTACTAACTTTAATGAATCTTTTGTTGCAGCAAATTATTCTGAGTACCAATAAGTATCATATTGATAAGCCAACTGTCAGTTTCTGGATCAGATTAAGATGAATTCAGTCATCATGATGGCAACAGAGCAAAGATTAATCTTGAAGATGTCACATGTTTGTTTGTCCAATGAAAGAGAAGAGGAAGACATGATGAAAGAGTAAAAAAACCGTTGTGAGTGTGTTAATCTCACAGGCAGCAGATTATAAAGCTCAAGTTAATATGACAGTAAACACACCACAGTGTCTGCTGATGTTCGGGTTGGAGGATTAAACCACTAAAGAAGAAGAACTCACCTGACTGGACCAAGCCTCCAACATGGACGACCTGATAACACAGAGCTGAGTCCTGATTGGCTGACTCAGCTCTACAAACACTGACTCAGAGGTAACTCAAGGTCCACTTACTGGCTCTTCTGACAGTGTGGACAGAGTTTGCTCAGTCTCTGTCTTCACAGTTCCATACTTTGGTCAAGTGATCAGAGCGGAAATTGTGATTCAGATCACTTGAAGACAACTGAAACTCCTCTGCTGGTGAACACTATGAGATGTGGTCGAAGGCTCTTAGAAAACACAGCGAATACTGGATGAAATATTAAAACTCAGAGAACATTGGACCGAATATTGGGTCAAACAGAGCTAAACCTTTAGTGAATATTTCACAGCAGCCTAAACAAAGTATAACCAGACAGTTAAGGAAGAAACCAGCCTTACTTTTAACTAAGTGAGAAAATGCTGACGACGAGGAGGGAAATAAGGAGAATGAAACGTCAAAGTAAATAACGGAGAGGAAGAGATACATCCATTCAGTCTGAATATCAGTGACTATGATCGCTATGATCTAACGTCAGACTGGTGGAAACATGAATAATGCAAACATGAATCTTTCCTGCTGCTTCGCCTCAGAGACAGACAAGGGAAAAATGGCAACATTGAACTTTAGCTTTTTCGTTTGAGCCTGTGAAGGTGTGGTGAGTCGTCATGTTGGAGTTTTGTCTCACAGTTTCTGTCAGTTTTACTGCTGTCGTCTCATTGGCTGCTGCAGGATGAGCGAGGTTTAAAATGCCACCGACGTGTTCACACCTGATTAACAACACAAACTTCACCTCAGCAACGTCAAGCCCGACATAATCGCCATCATTTTCCATCAGCTCTCCATCCTGAGCTTACAACTTCTCCTCTTTAACTGCTTTCTGCTGCCGCCTGCACAACGCGCCGCTGCTCACAGGCCGGCCATGATAAGAGGCTTAACGCAGCCTTCGGGTTTACAGGAAGAGTCTCGCAGCGCTGACAGGGCGTCTCTGCAGGGGAGCTTTCATCAGGAGAGGACGGAGATACGAGTCGACTCAGCCAGCACTTCCTGTGTGACGTCTGGTGTTCACAGAGCAGCTCTCAGAGGAAAAACAGCAGTCTGGAGACTCAGTGACGACTCCACATTTACATTAGAGATTCAAAACAAGCTCTTATAGATTTTTTATAGCTTTTTATAGTAGAGTGATTTTTGAAATTCAGGGCACCAGTACCAGTTTGGTGTAAAAGCAAACAGACCAACCACAGATTTGATCACAGTAGATATTGGGGATGTTCCTGGTGACTCATTTAACTGTAGATTAAAATGGAATTTTAATTGAGACTAGTGGACTAGTTTAAAAGTAAGACACTCAGAAAACAGTCAAAATTAAGCACAACTGACACAGGGGCAGTTTCATAAATTATAGGCATTTAAATTTCAGTTGGGATGTGACTGAAGCCGACGTCGGCCTGTCACAGATTCTTCATATGGTTATCTGCTCCAGACAGAGCATGCCCACGAAGTGCAGGGACCAGGTCTCATTTATGGACTGCTCTGCTCACCAAGATGCATTTGCAGAAAGTGCTTTTCTGGTTGTGAGGGAAGGTTACAGATTTTATGGTTTTTCTTCGATGTCCTACGGCTTCTGTGCTTCAACTCTCAGGGGTTAACAGAGTTTACAGATGTAAGATGTACATCAGTTAGCTAACTGCTAGCTGCTGCTAACTGCTAACAGACTGGGAGCTCAAGGTGGTCCAAAGCTGAATGAAGAATCAGTACAAGAAAAATAAGGATGTTTTTTACAGAGTGAATCATGCAAAGCTACTCAGACTGAGAATATAGAGCTTGATATGAGTAGAATAGGTGCCCTTTGAAAGAATAAATGTAGATAGAAAAAACACCAGCATAAAGCAGAAAGGATGTCAGAAATCGACAGACATAAAAGATAAAATGTCTTTTTGGTTACATAGTCTTGAAATGTTCCAAAACATAGATGTCAGTCATCTTTTAGCCTTCAAGACCTGAACTGTTAATTCAACAACAGAGAGGAGGCAGCCAGGTATTAAAGGCAGGAAGTTTTCTAATCTTCCTGCAGAGAGTAAAGTGTTTGTTGTCAGTTCAGATGTGTGAGAGGATGTAAAGGTTTCCTGAAGCTCTGCACATTATTTATGACGCTTCAAACTCCCTCGAGGAAACTCTCAGTGATTCTCTGCTTGTGGCTGCCAGCACACAGGATTTAAAGATGAGATAAACTCTAATTAACCACCGTGTTCTCATCCTGGAGATGTAAACATTTAAAGTTTGAAATCAGCTAGGAGTTCCCATCAGACCTCAGGCTTGTTATCGAAACCTCAACAACAGCTGCCGGACCCCAACAGAATGGGAATTAACTGGGAAACTGGGACTGGTTCAACCTGCTCTGGAGGAACAGGTCTGTCAGGGCAAGACCAAGTAAAGTCTTTTCTGAAATGTCAAGTTGTGTCAAGTCTCAAACAATGTAGGACATGTTCTAGTCATCTCAAGTAATTATAGACAAGCCCAAGTCAGGCCCAACCGATTCGTTACAGTTACAACTCCAAATATAAAATCGGTTTATTTAAGAAAAAGAAAGTCCAATCTGCTCACACCTTCAAGTCAACATCCCATCAAGCCCCAGTCATCCCGACCCACCTGTGACCAGGAAGGTACAGCGCCCTGCCCCGGCCTCGTTGGTGATGTCACAGGTGTACTCGCCGTAGCCCTCTCGGTTCAGAGCTCTGACTAGGTAGTTGGTGTCATCACGCTGGTCGCTGAACTGTCCAACGGTGAGCAGGCGGGAGCCCAGCTTCCACTCGTATCGCAAGAGGCGGGCTGGGTGAGCTCGCAGCAGGCGGCAGGTGAGGCTGAACGCCCGGCCGAGAGCCTGTCGGATCTCTGTGTACACCGGCTCCACAGTGGGCGGGACTGTTAAAGAGAGAGAGAGGAAATATGAGGTGATACAGCAAAGAATAATATCAAAACAATTACCGGCACTTTTACAAGTGCATGTTGTTTGTCCACACATTGTAGAAACCATAGAGCTTTATTGTAAAAGATACAAAATTTGTGGAGACTGAATTCTGGAGAAATCTTTCTTATGATGCATGAGTTGACTTAAAGTTGAATAGAGAAAATTCCTCCTTCTGCACAGACTGCTCTGTGGGATTTACCGACGGTAAACTGAAGCCGTTTATATTGTCTATGCTCTCTTCTGCTCTACCGCTGCCAACCATCTGGGCTACTGTAGAAACATGGCAATTCAACATGGCGGACTATAAGAGGACCCGCTCCCTCTGTGGATAAAAACGTCTCATTCTAAGGTAACAAAAACACAATGATTCTTATATACTCATATATTTACATTATATTTCTGCCAATGAATGTGAATGAATGCAATGAATTTGCAATGAAAAATGCAAAGAGCACATTAACCAGACACGTTTCCTTTCGGCCTTTCATCAGTTTAATAATTTAGGTTAATTAGCTACAGCTGATATAATCTGATGTTTGTCATCACCTGAAGGTTTCCTACATTGTTCTTTGCTAATAACACAGTGAAAGGCTGCTTAACCTTGAAGCTTAGTGAATCTGAGGTTTTCATCAACTTGGAATAAGCTCAACCACATGCACCAGACATTTAGAATATTTCTGTTTAATCAAACGGTACAAAACATCAAGCTTCAATGTAGATCTGCAACAACATGATACACAATGAATCTGCTGTCAGTCACTCTAAAGTGAGAAATCTGAGAGGAAAATCTTTAGTTTGAATAATGGGATGAATCACCACCCATCAAACTTTAGAAATGTCATAAGTCATAAAGTTATAATCTTGAAGTTTCAATAATAATGTATGAAATTACTTTTTGTCTAAGAATAAAATGAAGCAAGTTCAATTCAGCTTATTTTTGGCATTCATTTTCAGGACAAAAACATATTTTTTTGGTTTCATTGGTTCTTTCATTAATTTAAAAAACAGCTCAACTGTGTCTGTGATCTATGATATTTCGTGAGGCTGTATCCTGTTATTGTCCTGATTTCTCCACAGGGATCAATAACATTTCATCTACTCTGATCTGATCTAATAATCTGATTTGAATTTGGAGATTTTCCAGCCAACTGGGAAATGATCTTAACGGTTAACACATACACACACACACTTGCTGGTATTAAGACATTGTCGCAGAGGTTTACAGTGACTCTACTCCACTTCAGCTGCAGACAAAAGCTTTTATTTCACTTCAATTTTTCTTTATTTGAACTGTTTCAGCATCTTCGGATCTTTAAGGGATATTTTGGGGTTTCTGAAGTGGGGTTGTATGAATCACTTATTCAGCATAGACACCCTCAGTTTGTAGAAACACATCCAACTCTAAGTCCCGGATGTTTTGTGACACAGAACCATGCGGGAAGTCATGGAAACTATCTAGAAAAAAGCAGGCACTTATAAATAACCAGCAGGTGATTGGATAAACCATCTGTCTGTCACCATCTATCACAGGCAAACATAACCCGATCAGATCAATGAACCATGTAACTGACTGAAGCCAGTCGGGAGAAGAGAGAAAAACCTTCAGTGTCATTCTTTGTTCTACTTATAATGAAGAAATACTCTCCAGTTCTGATGTAACTAATGCTAGTAGCATCTACACTAACACACAGCTAGCCTTAAACCACGCCTGCAGCTCATTGGATGTTGACTGGACCAAACCACAGTGGTTGGACACAAGTGTATAGGTTGAAGGCTGACAAGATGGATTCTTGTGTGATCTCATGATTTTGAGTCCAGTTGCTTCACGAGGATATGGAGAGAGTAGGGAGAGAGCTGTGCACTGCTGTGGCAGCAGGGCAGCACAAACATTTCTTTTAACCACAAAAAAGGCTTACATAAAAAAGAAAAATCAATATCAGTTTAAGTCCGAGTTAAAGCGGCACAGCCCGGAAAAAACACATGCACCATCTCTGAAATCTGTAGAAACGTGAAGTTTAATTTCTAATAGTCTAATCTCGTAACTTGATGAAAGTAAATCTCTTTCTGTAAAGTTTAAAATTCAAAGTATGTTAGAAAATGTCTTTAGTGTGTTTAAACATGATTTGTTGAAGTTGACTTGAAGGTTGACTCGCTATATTAAACTGATAAAAGTAAGAAAATCCAGACTGAAAGAGACTAAATCGAACTGAAGTCACGGCTGCTGCGTTTCATTTCCTGCTCTCTCACTTCACTCTTTAATGATGCCCAAAATGCCTCTAAAATAACCTTAAACCTCTTAAGAATCTGAAATATTTAAAGCCAGACGGGCGCTCTGCTAAAGGGCACAAAGGCAGAGTCTGAGCTCTGTTTTTAAATCCCTCCAGCAGAACTTCCTCAGAGGATTTCAGCCACATTACAGGTGTCACTTCACAGATTAATGCCCCGCTGTCAAACACGGATCAGCAGCTGCAGGCGACAGTCCTTCAACCTCTCAGAGTCCTTGCTGATGAAGAGAGTACGAACGCTGCCTGGCTCCAGGGACAAGGCAGCGACGGCTCCACATGATTAATTCAGGCTGAGAGGTCGGAGCAGGACGCCACTGATGGAGTTTAAAACTCAACAGACAACATCACACATTTAAATGGAGTCCGCACAAGTCCAAGTCCGAGCTTTTAACTGGAATTTCTTACTTAATTATCAAGACCAGACTTGCTCCTCAAGTAATTTGTGGATGGTTTAAATTGTTTCTCAAGTAAGTTCAAAGCCTAATCTTGTGAGACACAAGTCCTTAAGAGTCAGGTCAAAGTCAAGTCTCAAGTCATAAGACACGTTCTAATCGAGTGTCATCTCAAATATTTACAGACAAATCAAATAAATTCAAATTGAAATAATTCAAATTGTTTTGCAACAACACCTAAAATCACTTCATAAAATTTTTTTTAAGGAAATCTGTCATTTTATTCAGGTAACGCTGCGTTTCACAGTTGCCTGTTAATGGCGTCATATCCCCTTTGTGTCTCCGTCAGCATTGTGGTTATCTGCCAGAAGCTGTCATACATTGACTGTTGATCCCACGCTGCTTCCCCACCTCAACAAACTTTATATTTTCTTATTGATTTGATGTGAGAGATCCCCTAGTGGCAGAAATTATATATTGTACACTTAGGATTTGTTGTTTCCTGAACAAATGTAGGATGTGAAGGTTTCTCTTCTGCCTAAAAGTGAAAGATATGGAACATGTGGTATAGACTGTAAATCCCTGTGAGTCAACTTCAATCAACACAGGACGCAAAAATCAGTTCAAATTGATTCTTTTCTAAAATAAATCTGCACGTTTTGATTAAAATTGGTAAAAGCTCAAGTAAATAAGTCTGCAGTACACACACAGACACTGAGGCTACAGAGGTAAAGGTCTGCGGTTCATCTCGACCCCCCAGAAATGTTTCCAGGACCTTCCTCCTGTGAGGGAAACGGTCCAGGAACATCTAAAGGTCAGCTGGATGCCTTTGCTCAACGTCGACCTTCAGTCAAGCTCTCCAATTGGACAAAGAAGACTTCTGACCCTGCTGTTTAATTCCCACAATGCACTGCTGAGGCTGGTGTTCCAGCGCGTTAATGAGCTTCTTTCTACTGTTTGTATCCTGATAACTTTAGCATGAAAGTTTTTCTCTGGCTGGAGTCAGAGGAGCAGCAGCGGGGACACTTCAGGGCCAAATGAGGAATAAGTTCATTTACATGATAATTTAATTCAGTAAATTAATTTACCCCCAGGGGCCCCTGAGGGACCGTCAAGAAAAAAATGACCACTGGTTTCATTTCCTCTTTTATTATGCTGACTATACTGCTGCTTTAAGACTATTCCTTACAGCACTTTCTAAATCCTACCATAAGCTTTGAATGCTCAATGTTAAGTTCATATTCTAGTCATTAATTCCATAATATTCAGCTAAAAAAACAGATTCCCCTGATGCTTCATATTTGAAGAAAATTAAACAGTCCTTACATTTTCTCTGAGTTTGTGAGGACCATAATAATAAAAAAGAAAGAAAACATCCACAGAGGTGTAAAAGTGAAAGCTTAAATATTCAGGAAATGAAACCTTTCCGCTGCTACAGGTCTTTCGGGAAAATATAGGAAGTAAACGAAATGCTGTATTTAGCTGAGAATGGCTGCTGTTGTTGACGGTGAACATTTAGGAATGATATGTTGTTTAATTATTAAACACAACAGTAATATGTTCATAAACAGTCTTTTAAGCCTGCAGATCTTTTTGTCAGATTGTGGAGGCTGTAAGTCTCACACCTCAACGAACTACTGATGTCTCTCTAACATGTCACGTTGAATCAAATCATGACCATATGGGTGAATCGTATCATATCGCATTGGTAGAGCTTCATATTTATCTTTAATGTATCGGGTGGTTGGCGGTGCATCGAGGTGCGTATCACATCGGTCTCAGTGACAAAAATGTACATTTCATTTAGGAAGTTCTGCAGTTTAGCTAAATATTTCTTTTGGGACAGCAGCAGCTAATTTTTATTATTCTATCTGCAGGGGCGGATCTCGAAGGGTGGCAGTCCTGAAAAAAAGAGTTTGGTGTGAAATTGAACACGTTTATTTAGATTAATAATGAGCTAAACAATTAAAATGTATTTACTGATCTGTTATGGCCAAATATTAGACCCAGTGATTGGCTTAGGTTGAATGAAAAAATATGTATTTGGAGAAATTACATATCTCTATTCAGTGCTTTGCTAATATGTCTCTCTAGACCTGCCTCCGCCTATTGTCAGTGTTGAACATGTTTCTGGTATTGTGAGGACGGCAATGTGACTGATGTCTCTGTAATCTGTGTTCAGACCTCAACAGGATTTTATTCAACAGCAATGTCCTCTGTTTGCTGTCTGTTTACTACAGTGCCAATTTCTATATGAACGCTGACAGCTGTAACTCTTGTACCCCAACAGGTCACTTATGTCCCCTGTAATCCACGTTCCAAAACGACCGTTGGAGGATTTTATACAGCGACAGTCCCGTGTCCCTTTTTATTCTTCTGTCTTTGAAGGAATCACTTTGAGTGCTGGAAACTTTAAAACCCAGTGCAGGATGTTCGTCAGAGGGATTGTGGGGACGTCACCTCCGCACATCACTGTCATCCCCGTAATCCAGTAAAAAAAAAAAAAAAAACCCAACAGACTGTGAGGGATTATTGTCAAAGTAAAAAAAGACCTACTAACAGCTCATTTGAAATGTTGCTTATAAGCTTTTCTCTTGCGGTTTCATGTGGACTTGATTAGCATATTTAGCAAAAGTCAAGAGTTTAATGGGCACAAACTGTAGATGTGAATGCATTTTGGGTCAGTGTGTTTGTACAGCTCTAACATGCTCCGGTGTCAGCTCACGTTGAACTAGTTTTCTGCTGATTTCTGCTCTTTTTTTCTTTTTGCTGTGCAGTCTTTCAGTCAGCAGCTTTTCTTGAGGATTAGTGAGGGTTTCTTTGCTTAAATACAGTTGCAAGTGAAATCTGTGTCTGTGTGTGACTTCAACATTGTTTCACTTATTTCAAACTAATCCACCTGTAATCTGCCCTCAATTTAATCTGCTTTGTGTTGTTGCACAGTGGAAACATACCACTGGAAGTTTAGAGGGAATTTAAAGAGATGTTCTTTTTACAGCAGTGAAAATAAACTGCTTGTAAAATGTCATTTTAGTAAAAAAGTAAACGTATCAGCTGTAAGTAGGCCTCGTAACCACACCAAGAATTTAAAGGTCCAGTGTGAAACATTTAGGAGGATCTATTGTAAGATAATATTAATTGGTATAATCACCTGAAAATAAGACTTTTATATCTACAGGCGCAGCAGGTTGCCTTCCCTGGAGTCCAACAGTCGCCCACAATGGACAAACCAAACACTAAGCTTTCGCATGCTTCATGGCCATTGCAGTTTCTGCTACATACAATTCTACCAACAGGGGGCGTAACATTAACAATATACATTCATTTCTGTTTTCTTTGATGAGGATGAAACTTTTTATTGTACACAGCTGCTCCATGAGCGTGCACAACATACTGAAGCCTTGCATCAATAACTCCACCTTGAGGCCAATAATACAATGCTTGAACGCAGTATTGAATTATCACTGATTCTGTGTGATATCTTTAGACGTGAATCACAAACACTTTGTGCTGAGAGGTTGGGTTGAGAGCAGTGAAGCAGAGAATCACACATTTTCTCCAGGAAGTGCAAATATTCTCTTCCTCCGTCAACGTCCTCTTAGGTTTCTTGTAGGAATAGTTTCATAATGTTGCTTTAATAAGATAATTGTTTTTTAGTTAATTCTTCATCATTCAACAGGTTTTTAATGTTTTGCTGCAAATGATTCTGTTATAAAACGGTTTAATAATCTTTATCTTCTGTGCTGTTTTAACTCTGTTTGACCTCCTCGTCTTACTGAAAGGACAAATGTTATGAACCGAGTTGTTGAATTTTATAATGGTTTGATTCACTGTGTTCAGGTGTGGGTTCAGTTTCTGTCTCGGCCGAAGACTTCCTCTGAGTTTCTGCATCGATTCTGCAGAGAATCAGAACGAGTCGAGCCTCAGAGGAGATTCACTCTGACAGCCTTTTAGTGCAGCAGGAAGCCGGGAGCTGTGTGTGTGTGCACGTACTTGTACATCTATCTTTGGGAGGACCGATGTAGGTTTCAGACCTTGGAGAGTGAGGACATTTTTGCTGGTCCTCTCTTTCGGACAGACCTTCAGAGACCTGTTTGAGGGTTTACTTTGGTTTGAAGGTTTTATGGTCAGCGGCTGGTTGGAAGGTCCTCACAAGAATAGAAGTACAAACGTGTGTGTGTGTGCAGCTTCCTGTCACATCCTCTGATGGTATTTTTTACGACGCAGCACCCTGCAGGTTAGACGGAGTGTGACTGGAAGATCGCGGATTGAATCCCCGTCCACAGACAGACAGACAGCATGTGTCTGTCAGCGGCTGCCCATATGCCCTCAAGTGGAGGCGTTAAACCCCCTACCTGTTGGTGTGTGTTTCCACTGAAATGGTGTTTTTATCACACCGATCTGCTGCTGTTCGCTCTGATGGATGTGATGCAGTTTGATTGGATGATGTGACATTTTCTCCGCAGGGATCAGGGAGCCCACGTCACAATGCATTCTGGGTATTTCAGAGGCCTGCTGTTGTTTGTTTACATCTGCAGCAGATGTTACATTTGGTTTCAGCTAAAAAGAGATTTTTTTTTACAGAAAAATGTCCAGAGAGGAGACAAAGTGAGGACGAGACCATAAATAATACAAAAGAAATTAAATGTTTGTACAACCTGTATCTGTTTGTACCACAGGAAGAAACTGTTATAGAAGTACTAGAGTCACATGGTGTCTCACTCCCTCTGCCTGTGTTGTATCACAGCCTCTCTGTGGTTTGTTTCCATAGC